GAATAAGAAAAAAAATCAAGCGAGTATCATAAACCGAAAAAGAAAGAAAGACAAGTAGTAATGAAGAAAATAAATGAAAAGAAGATGAGTAAAAAAAACAAGAAGTTTAAATTGAAGGAAACCTCGCGAAGAAAAATGAAAGAGAAAAAAGGTAAGAGAAACAGTAACATGGCGTCAGGTTATACTATTAAAAACGAAAGAAATGAATGCAAAAGAAGACTTAGTGGGAGGAAAGAGGTTAGAAGAAAATATCAAAGGAAAAAAAGAAAGAATGGAAGAATGTAAAAAAGAAAAGAAAGAAAGAAAAAAGAAAAGTAACGAAAGGAAAGAAAGAGAAAATGCACAAAAGAAAGGAAAAAGAAAAGAAAAAGGAGAAAAAGAAAAAGAAAGAAGTAAAAGAAGTAAGAAAAGCAAAAAGAAAGAAAGAAAACTGAAAAGAATGAATGAAAGAAAGACAAAGGAAAAACAAAGAAAGAAAAAGGAGAAAAAGAAATAAAACAAGAAATCGAAAAAAAAGAATGCAAGAAAATGAAATAAAAGAAAGAAAAAAAAGCAAGAATGTAAAAAATCAAGAAAAGCGTAAAGTTGTAAAGAAAGAAAAACAAAAGATAAAATATAAATGAAATAAAAAAGAAAAGAAAAGCAAAAGAAAGAAAGGAAAATGCACGAAAGAAAGACAAAAGGAAAAGAAAGAAAGATGAAGGAAAAAAGAAGGAAAAGTGAGAAAAAGAAAATAAATAAGAAGTGAAAGGAGAAAGAAAAGCGAAAAGAATGAATGAAAGAAAGAAAAAAAGAAAAAAAGAAATAATGATAGAAATGAGGGAAAAAAAGCAAAACGCAATAAATGATGAGAGGAGGTCGAAGTAAAGAAAGAAAATCTAAAAGAAAGACAGACGTGAAAGAAAAAGAACAAATATGGAGAAACAAATAAAGAAAAACGAAGGAAAGAAAAAGGAAAAGAAAGAAAAAAAGAAAGTAAGAAATGAAAAGAAAAAGAAAAAGAGGGGCATAAATAAAAGGCGATAATGAGCAAGTTTAATTTCATTTAGTCGATCATTGGTTCGATCCTCACAGGTGAGACGCTATATTAGTGCCTTGTCTGACTCAGCTTAGTATTTATCAAATGGCGATCAAGAAAAGGAGGAGAATGAAAAAGAGTGAGAGAATGAGAGAGATAGAGAGAGATGGAGAGAGGAAGAAATGGAGAGAGACAGACAGACAAATAGACAGTGTGTGTGTGAGAGTGTGTGTGTGTGAGAGAGAGAGTGTGTGTGTGTGTCTGTGAGAGAGAGGGGGCGGAGTAAAGAAGAACAGCGATGTGAAAATGAGAAATATGAGAAAATAAAAAAAGATTCAAAAGGAAGAAAGAGAATAAGAAAAAATGAGCAATATTGATAAAAAAAAGTACGAATGACAATTATAAACAAAAAAAAGTGATAATTAAAGAGAAAAAGCCAAAAAATGTAAAAATGAAGGAAAAATAAAAAAAATTACGGAAAAAAATTAATAAAAATGAAAATGGAAAAAACGAAAAGGTAAATTTAGAAAAAAACTATAGAAAATTGAAAAAAGAATGACAGATAATTAAAATAACGAAAAATGGAAAAGAAAGAAAAACGATTTATAAGAAGATAAGAAGTGAAAATATATCGAGAAGAAAATGGGTAAAAATTCTGGAAGGAATAAGAAAAAAAGAAAAGGAAAAATTAAAGAAAATAAAAATACAACTAAAAATATAAAAAGAAAAGAAATTAACTATGATAGAAATAAAGTCCAAAATAGGAAATGAATGAAAAACTGAAAAAAAAAAGTTGACGATAAAATCTAAATTAATAATATAGTAAATAAAGAATTAAATAAAGACTGAAAAAACGAAATAAAAATTTTTAAAAACTCATCAAAAAAACAAACAAAATAATGACCAAACCTGAATAATAATAATAAAAAATAAATAAATAAACGCTTGAAAGAAGGAGGGGGAAGGAAATAAAAATGGCGACCCATGTAAATGATATGCTGATGACATCTAAGCAATATTCAAATGAAGTCTTTTTATGCACATTTCATGATTTACAAGCCTGCCAATGAGCGTGAAATTCAGAGAATATGAATCTATAATATTGAGACGTTTTATCCAGAGACTTGTCATGCTGAGCCCCGAGAAACGGCACAGTGATTGGCATTTGTGGAACTTATCGAATATTTATCTGAATACGACTGAAAAATTCTGACTTCTCACAAATTCACAATCAAATGCTTGACGTCACCCAACCCCACAACAAACAGCATCACATTTCGCTTTCTTTTTGACATATGTTTCCTTCTTTTACATCGTTACATTGTCAATGTGCAAGAATAGTTTGGTCTTCCAAAAGCATCGATTCTCGAAATAAGTGAAAATTGCATATTTATTCTTGTGACTGAACAAAAAAGGTTATTGGGTTTTGAAAACGACGAATAAATAAAACGCTGTAGGTTTAAAGCATGAATATCTATGGAAGTGTTCATATGGATGCGAGAACATTATCTATCTTCATCTATCTATCTATCTATCTATCTATCTATCTATCTAAACATCTATCTATCTATCTATCTAAGATTTCATAATGGCCGTTAGGATCTATCTATCTATCTATAAAAAAATCTATCCTATCTATCTTATCTAAGACTTCATATCGATGCATGTTTCCTATCTATCTATCTATCTATCTATTCATCTATCTATCTATCTATCTATATATTAAGACTATTCATGTACATGCATGCTTATATCTATTCATCTATATTCTATTCTATCTATCTATCTATATATCTATCTATCTATCTATCTAAGACTATTCATATACATGCATGCATTATATCTATCTATCTATCTATTATCTATCTATTTATCTATCTATCTATCTAAGACTTCTTATTTTATGGATGCATGTTTCATATCTATCTATCTATCTAATCTATCTATCTATCTATCTAAGACTGTTAATATCGATGCGTGTTTTATATCTATCTATCTATCTACTCTATCTATCTATCTATCTATCTATCTATCTATCTATCTAAACATGTTGTTCTATTTTTATCTCAATATCCGTATCTTGATCTTTCAGATCATTTAATATTTCTCGGGCACTTTTATTTTTTTATATCGGGAGTCTTATTTTCAAAACAAGTTCATTATTTTTCCAATTCATTACTTTCGTAATTTTTTTTTCAATTAGTTCAAATATGAAGAAAGGCGGTTCATATTTTTTATATTAAAACTTCCATTAATTCTTTTTTTAAACTTCCATTCATTTTAACCTTCAATTTCTTTCTCCACAAAACCTTCCATTAAAATTTCTCCTTGATACCTTCCAGGAATTTCTTTTCTTAAAACCTTTCATTAACTTAACACCTATTAATTCATTTTCTTTCACCTTCCAAGTGCCTTTTCCCTTAAAATCCTTGATCATTATTTCCTTTTTTCTCCTTAACATTATTAATTCATTTTCACGAAACCTTCCTAATTTCTTTTCCCCTCCAAAACCTTTCATTTTTCCTTTTCTTAATTCATTCTCATTAACACCTTCCATGATTTCTTTTCCCCTTAAAACCTTTCATTATTTTTTCTCCATTAACCTAAATTAAAAATTCATTTCCTTTTATTTATTAATTCATTTTCTCATTAACACCTTCCATGAATTTCTTTTCCCCTTAAAACTTTTTCATTAAATTCCCTTTCTCTTTAACACCTTCCGCCAATTAATTCATTTTAAACACCATTAACATTTCTCTTCCATGAATTTCTTTTCCCTTAAAACCTTTCATTTTTCCTTTCTCCTTAACACCTATTAATTCATTTTCTCATTAACACTTTCATAGATTTCTTTTCCCCTTAAAACCTTTGATTATTTTTTTCCTTTAAATTCACATTCTTTTTCATTATTAAATCCTTTCATTATTTCCTTTCTCCTTAACACCTATTAATTCATTTTTCTCATTAACACCTTCCATGAATTTCTTTTCCCCTTAAAACCTTTCATTATTTCCTTTTCTCCTTAACACCTATTAATTCATTTTCTTTCATTAACACTTTTCATTATTTCTTTTTCTCCTTAAAACCTTTCATTTTTAATTCCTGAATTTCTTTTTAATTTAACACCTATTAATTCATTTTCTCATTAACACCTTCCATGAATTTTTTTCCCTTAAAACCTTTCATTATTTCCTTTTCCCCTTAACACCTATTAATTCATTTTTCTCATTTAACACCTTCCATGAATTTCTTTTTCCTTAAAACCTTTTCATTATTTCCTTTTCTCCATAACACCTATTAATTCATTTTCTCATTAACACCTTCCATGAATTTCTTTTCCCCTTAAAACCTTTCATTATTTCATTTCTCCTTAACACCTATTAATTCATTTTCTCATTAACACCTTCCATGAATTTCTTTTCCTCTTAAAATTTCCTTTTTAAACACCTATTAATTCATTTCTCATTAACAAAATTTTTTTCCCCTTAAAACCTTTCATTATTTCCTTTTCTCCTTAACACCTATTAATTCATTTTCTCATTAACACCTTCCATGAATTTTCTTTTCCCTTAAAACCTTTCATTATTTCCTTTTCTCCTTAACACCTATTAATTCATTTTCTCATTAACACCTTTAACACCTTAAAACCTTTCATTATTTCCTTTTCTCCTTAAAATTCATTTCTCATTAACAACATTTCTTTTTCAAAACCTTTCATTATTTCATTTCTCCCCTTAACTATTAATTCATTTTCTCATTAACACCTTCCATGAATTTCTTTTCCCCTTAAAACCTTTTCATTATTTTCCTTTTCTCCTTAACACCTATTAATTCATTTTCTCATTAACACCTTCCATGAATTTTTTTCCCCTTAAAACCTTTCATTATTTCCTTTTCTCCTTAACACCTATTAATTCATTTTTCATTAACACTTTCCATTTCTTTTCCCTTAAAACCTTTCATTATTTTTTCTCCTTAAATTCATTTCTTTCATTAAATTCTTTTCCCCTTAAGCTTCTTTCATTACACCTATTAATTCATTTCTCATTAACACCTTCCATGAATTTCTTTTCCCCTTAAAACCTTTCATTATTTCCTTTTCCATGAATTTCTCCTTAACACCTATTAATTCATTTTCTCGTTAACACCTTCCATGAATTTTTTTCCTTAAAACCTTTCATTATTTCCTTTTCTTAACACCTATTAATTCATTTCTCATTAACACCTTCCATGAATTTCTTTTCCTCTTAAAACCTTTCATTATTTCCTTTTCTCCTTAACACCTTATTAATTCATTTTCTATTAATTCCTTCATTAGACTTTCATGAATTTTTTCCCCTTAAAACCTTTCATTATTTCCTTTTCTCCTTAACACCTATTAATTCATTTTCTCATTCTTTAACACCTTTCCCCATAAAACCTTTCATTGTTTCCTTTTCTCCTTAACACCTTTTAAATTTCTTTCCCCTTAAAACCTTTCATTATTTCCTTTTTCTCCTTAACACCTATTAATTCATTTTCTCATTAACACCTTCCATGAATTTTTTTCCCCTTAAAACCTTTCATTATTTTCCTTTTCTCCTTAACACCTATTAATTCATTTCTCATTAACACCTTCCATGAATTTCTTTTCCCTTAAAACCTTTCATTATTTCCATTCTCCTTAAAACCTTTCAATTCATTTTCTCATTAATTTTTTCCATGAATTTTTTTTCCCCTTAAAACCTTTCATTATTTCCTTTTCTCATAACACCTATTTAATTCATTTCTCATTAACACCTTCTGCCAATTTCTTTTCCCCTTAAAACCTTTCATTATTTCCTTTTCCTTAACACCTAATTCATTTTTCTCATTCTTTTCATGAATTTCTTTCCCCTTAAACCTTTCATTATTTCCTTTTTCTCCTTAACACCTATTAATTCATTTTCTCGTTAACACCTTCCATGAATTTCTTTTCCCTTAAAACCTTTCATTATTTCCTTTTCTCCTTAACACCTATTAATTCATTTTCTCATTAACACCTTCCATGAATTTCTTTTCCCTTAAAACCTTTCATTATTTCCTTTTTCCTTAACACCTATTAATTCATTTTCTCATTAACACCTTCCAATTTCTTTTTATAAAACCTTTCATTATTTCCTTTTTCTCCTTAACACCTTTTAATTTTTTTTCTCATTAACACTTTCCATGAATTTTTTCCCCTTAAAACCTTTCATTATTTTTTTTTAACACCCTTAAAAACCTTTCCATGATTTCTTTTCCCCTTAAACCTTTCATCATTTCCTTTTCTCCTTAACACCTATTAATTCATTTTCTCATTAACACCTTCCATGAATTTCTTTTCCCTTAAAACCTTTCATTATTTTCCTTTTCTCCTTACACACCTATTAATTCATTTTTCTCATTCTACCTTCCATGAATTTCTTTTTATAAAACCTTTCATTATTTCCTTTTCTCCTTAACACCTATTAATTCATTTTCTCATTAACACCTTCCATGAATTTCTTTTTCCCTTAAAACCTTTCATTATTTTCTTTTCTCTCCTTCCTATTTTCATTTTCCATTAACACCTAATAAAACCTTTCATCATTTTTTTCTCATAACACATATTTAATTCATTTCTCATTAATTTCAATTTTTTCCCTTAAAACCTTTTCATTATTATTTCCTTTTCTCCTTAACACCTATTAATTCATTTCTCATTAACACTTTTCCATGAATTTCTTTTCCCTTAAAACCTTTCATTACCTTTCTCTTAACACTGATTTTCATTTCTCATTAACATTTCTTTTCCCCTTAAAACCTTTTAATTAACACCTATTAATTCATTTTCTCATTAACACCTTCCATGAATTTCTTTTCCCCCTTAAAACCTTTCATTATTTCCTTTTCTCCTTAACACCTATTAATTCATTTTTCTCATTCACCTTCCATGAATTTCTTTTTCCTTTAAAACATTTTTCATTATTTCCTTTCTTTTCCCTTA